TGTGCCTTGTCACAAGGCAAGGGGTAGAGAAAAGATGAAAGAGCATCTCCGCTACAGCTGGTAAGATTTCCTATATTCTCATTTTGAATATGCCCAAAGCAATACTTTTGGAAATCTCTTATCTGTCAAGTGAGAGAGAGGGAAAGAGAGGTAGGAATTTTTTCTTATATTCCTCACTCTTCCTTTATTTCTCATCAGACATTTAGTCATTAAACTAGTTTAAACTTGGCTAAAACTAAAAAGTTTCAGTGCAGTCTTTTGATTCAGACAGATTTTCCATTGCAAATTCACCTTATAAAAAAATTCTGCCTTCAGAGTTGAATGCACTGTAATTTGAAGCAGTTTCCAGTAGTTACTGAGCTGCAAATGCACTTCTAACTGAGTTGTATTTCAGGCCTTAGTTCCCCTTGGACTGCTTGCTTGTACAGGTATCAGGGTAACAGCACCACATCAGTACAAACCAAACTGCATAGGAGCACCACAAAGTGCTGGGGGTAAATTGGCTTAATTGTATATGTTATTCCTATAGGAATGCAAAATAAGTTTTGCTGCAAACTATATGTAGCCATATAAAAGGTTATATAAATAAAGGTTGCACGCTACACCTTTATGAAATCAAAGCCTTTAGGGGAGAACACATGCAATTTAATCAGGTTTTTTTCTTGTTGTTTCAACTAAGTTGCTCTGCTCTGTTATGTGTATATTAATACTCATAGAATCATAGAATTGCTCAGGTTGGAAAAGACCTTCAAGATCATCAAGTCTAACCTCATCCTAACCATACTACTCTAACAACCCTCTGCTAAATTTTGTCTCTGCTTGTCATCTGATTCTTAACAAGATCTAAGACTGTAGTGCAGGCAACCAAAGTGAATTGCAAGCTTTAACACTGGGCTACATCTTGAGCTGGCACTAAGGGGTGAATCCATCACTTTTCATTTAAAATAACGTGCTGGATCTTGATCAAAAATGCTATCAATATAAACAAATGGAGTGGCTAATGTATCACTCTCTATTGCCAATAACCAGTGGAAAAAACCCTCTAGTTTGATGAAGTCTTCTTTCTTGATTAAATCCGGCAACTATATGGCTAAATGGACATCTACAATACTGTTCCTGATAGATGTTCCAATGAAATGTGTTCCCCAAAGGATTGAATCCTACTTACTTTCCTGTAAAAGCAGTGACTCCCAAGAAGGACTGACTGATCTTAGCAAGCTTTACAAGATGACCACTCCTAGGGCACTAATGATTCAATGAATCTAGAAACAGCACCTGAGTCATCCTAGTTTACAGCTCAGCATTTTAAGAAGAACTGAAGTTCAAATCTGTTTGCTTTAAATCACAAACAGTGGCAATAATACAGGAGTTTCTTCAGAAGCAATGTAGACATCAGTGTGTAAAGGAGCAACTGGATGCAGTAACTCAGTACCTTCCCCTGTGGCGGGTCACCCTTCCTATGAAGCAGAGCCTCACAGCTGCTGGACAGGTTTTGTGCCACCTGTGGAGGTCTGGGATTGAAAGGTGCAGCATATCATTCCTTGGGTACATTTCTTTTAGCCTGAAAATGACAATCTGCACCATTAAAAAATGAAAGTATCAGAATGCTAATCTTTCATTGTCTCAGACTCATTTTCTCCTTATGGATGGAAAGAACATTTTTATATGCATTGGTTAAAGGGAATGCATTTATTGTTCCAGATGCTTTCTTAGTGAATAGTTACAATTTAATCTAGGCTGTGCAGGGTCCTGGGGGAAGCAAGCAAGTGCAACGTATATCTACATCATTAAAAATAATTTAAGTGTGATGACAGCTGAAAAATAATCATACAAATATGTTCCATATTTATTCTTCAGTAAAGATAAATTGTTATTGGGTTTCTCAGTTTATAAGTCAAAATGCAGTATTTTTTTTAAGATGTCAGCCTTCAGTCTGTTATCTGTAAGTCAAGTAAATTCAATAGATACCTGTCTCACATTTTGTTGTTTTTACCTCAGATTGGAACTTTCCACATTTGTTTATTTATTTAATCCCCCAAAGTCCTCTTGAGGTAGATAAATACCATGTTCACATTCCCAATGGGGAACTAAGGCGTAAGGCAGGATGAAAGTAACTTAGCAGAAGGCAGCTTTAAAGAAACAGCTTTTAGAAAATCTATAGATGTTAGCCTGCTGGGTTAACTGAACGTTTTGATGTTGCTCTAGGTAGTTTCTCTATTGCTAAACTGTGACTGAATTGACTGTGTCTTTTGAGTCCAGGCATGGTATGTTATCCTTAGAACAGGAAGTTTACGTATACAATGACAAAATGCTATTTTAGTATTAAAACAATTCTAAGTAAAATTTTGTTTAAACGCTATCTTGTTGTGATACTTAGGGAATATGAAAAGGACT